ATGAAAAGTTACATATTTATAATATGTATGTATAGGTACACACATATATATATTCTGGAATCAAAAGAGCTTTTAGAAATCATCTCAATAAAAGCTGGGTGCAGTGGCATGTGCCTGTAATCCCAGCTACTCGGAAGGTTGAGGCAGGAGGATCTCTTGAGCCCAGGAGTTCAAGGCCAGCCTGGGCAACAAAGTGACACCCCTATCTCTAAAAAAATTAATTTAATTTAATTTAAAAATATCATCTCAATATACATACCCAAATTTAACAAGTTATCATTATTACAAAATGCTTAATAATGCCTCTAGACAAATGGGTCTAGTAGATAAACTAAAAATACAGCATTGAGAAAAATTAACTTTTTGTTATGCCATTTCTTAGACAAATATAAACTTTTCCAGATTTTGAAGATACTATATGTTAAACTCTATAATCATGATGAGAAAATTAGAAGGAGACCCAAAAGACTACAGTGTAACAAAAGCCAAGGGAGAAGAGTTTCAAAACTGAAAAACAACTAGTTGGTACAGCAAAAACTATAGTTTACTTCTGATGACTTTACGATCTATCCCATAAATTTTAAAAATGTCTAATCCTTGAAATGTTATAACACAATCTCCAAAACACGTAGTCTATGATCAAAGAAATTTGGGAAAGCCTGTATACTCCATACTAGCAGTTCTCAACCAAAGGTGGCGATGCACCAGATGACTTGGGGAATGTCTTCAAACTACAAAACACATAGATCCTCCAGTACTACCTGTGGGATGGAGGTGGGAAAAGATAATGTTGTTTGGAAAAATTTTCTAAGTTACTCTGATACTTATTCCCCAGAGGAAAAAAATCACTGCTAGATTTGGCTTCACAATAAACATATCAAAAGCTCTGAGAAATATTAAAATAATGATACTTTTCACTTTCTTAAGCCCAGCATTTTCTAAATTTCTTTGACCTCCCAACCTTTCTGTTTTTCTTCTTACCTGAACACCTATTATCTCAGAATAGTAACATTCCTCAAAACAGAATTTGGGAAATGGTGAACTACCCATTTTCAAACAAAATACATTTGTCACTTCTACTGCACAAATCTAATTACCTATTTTTTGCCAAATTAAACAGTTCTAAGGAATGGTCCTAAATGCCTTATTATTTTTCTTTGATTAGTTTATCAAATTAAATTCCCTCATCCCATATTTAATGTCAACATTTCTTCAGCACGAAATTACATGACCAGAAATCACTAAGCCACATGATGTCTACATTTGTGTAAATGGTATGAACCTCTAAAAAAAAATGCATAATGGTAAAATTACAGTTTTGACAGTAATACCGTAACAGTCCAAAAACTTAAATCAATTTTATTCATGAGGCATGTTATAGATAAAAGGGAATATTTGTCATTAACTAATTTTGACCAGGTCAATGAGAATACACTACCAATATTTCAAGATCCTGAATCACTCTTAACAAGTGAGGAATATTCAGTAGGAGGAAAATTCTATTCAAATTTCATATTATAAGAAATGGCCCTCAGCTTAAATTACAGCACATGAACAAGATATTTTCTCACAGACAGGTAACCATTAATTGTATATGGATGACCCCTAACTCCAAGGAAACAGCTCTTCATTCCTTTTAAAAACAGCTATACTGAATAAGTCAGATCCTTAATTACTTAGAAATATCTCAAAGCATGAGTCCACAAAGAAACTCAAAGCACAATTCAAACACAGTATTAATTTTAAAACTGCAGGATTTTGGAGGTAGCACTGCTAACTATCACAATTTCTCAAAATTAGTGACTACTAAACTCAGAGTAATTCAGCAATGTAAAATGAATACAGTCTCAAGTGTTTGAGTATAAACAAACTTTCTTTAACAAATTAGATAGGCTTTTTCCCCTTGCAATTTCAAATTCACTGTGTTCACATTTATTGTTACATTAATTTTTTAAAAAGTACAGTCATGCACCATATAAAGATGTGTTGGTCAACTATGGATCCCATATACAACAGTGATCACCCCCAAGAGTATAATGAAGTTGAAAAATTCCTATAGCCTAATAACGTCAGAGCAGTCGTAGTGCAATGTATTACTCACATGTTTATGGTCATGCTGGTGTAAACACACTGTAGTGCCAGTCACACAAAAGCACTGTATAGCACGTACAAGGATATATACACATTATAATTAATAATGGCAATAAATCACTATGTTACTGATGTATGTATTTACTATACTACATTTTTTTTTTTAGTTTTTTTTTTAAATTTCAGAATATTACCAGGGTACAAATGTTCTGATTACATGGATTGCTTTTTTACTGCCCGAGTCAAAATTATAAGTGTTCCCATCACCTAGATGGTGTGCATTGTACCCGTCAGGTATCATTTCACCCATCCCCTCCTTCCCCTCCCACCTGCATGATTTCCATCGAGTTTTACTTCCATCTGTGCACATGAGTGCTGATCCATTAGTTCCAATTTAATAGTGAGTACACGTGGTGTTTGTTTTTCCATTCTTGTGATAATTCACTTAGAAGGTTGGTCTCTAGTTCCATCCAGATTGGTATTAATTCATTTTTTATGGCTGACCAGTACTCTATGGTGTACATATATTAGATTTTATTAATCCACTCATGAATCAATGGGCACTTGGGTTGATTCCACATCTTTGCAGCTGTGAATTGTGCTGCAATACACATTCTAGTGCAAGTGTCTTTTGGATAAAATAACTTTTTTTCCTTTGGGTAAATACCCAGTAGTGGGATTGCTGGATCAAATGGTAAGCCTACTTTTAGTTCTTTGAGGAATCTCCATGCTATTTTCCATAGAGGTTGCACTAGTTTGCACTCCCACCAACGTGTGTTAAGTGTTCCCTTCTCTCCATGTCCACACCAGCACTTGTTTGGGGACTTTTTTGATAAAAAGCCATTCTCACTGGAGATAGGTGGTATCTTCCTGTGGTTTTGATTTGCATTTGCCTGATGATTAGTGACATTGAGCATTTTTCCATATGTTTATTGGCCATTAATGTATCTTCTTTTGAAAAGCTTCTCTTCATGTATTCTGCCCACCTTTTAATGGGGTTGATTTTTTCTTGGTGATTTGCTTGAGTTCTTTGTAGATTCTGGTTGTTATCCCTTTGTCAAATGTACAGTATGCAAATATTTTCTCCCATTTTGTAGGTTGTCTATTGGCTGTTGATTGTTTCCTGGGCTGTGCAGAAGCTTTTTAATTTAATCAAGTCCCATTTATTTGTTTTATTGTTGCTGCAATTGCCCTTGGGGTCTTCTTCATAAATTCTTTGCCGAGGCCGATATCTAGAATTTTCCCAACATTTTCTTCCAGAATTCTTATGGTCTTAAGTCTGTCATCCATCTTGAATTAATTTTTGTGAGTGGTGAGAGGTACAGATCCTTTTCAGTCTTCTGCATGTGGTTATCCAATTTTCCCAGTACCATTTATTGAATAGCGATTCGTTTCCGCAGTGTATATTGCTGTCTACTTTGTCAAAGATTAGATGGAAAT